TGTTCTCTTAATTACTCCTGATTGTTCATTATTAGTGTGTAGGAATGTTACGGATATTTGCATATTAATTTTGTATCCTATTTTACTAAATTCTTTTATGAATTCTATTAATTTTTTCTGGTGGATTCTTCAGGGTTTTCTATATATAGTATCATATCATCTGCAAATAGTTGAGAGTTTTACTTCTTCCTGTCTCATTTGAATGTCTTTTATTTCTTTTTATTGTTTGACTCTGTGGCTAAGACTTCCAATACTAGGTTGAACAGAAGTGGTGATTGTTTTGTTCCTGATCTTAGAGGAAAAGCTTTCAGCTTTTCATCACTGAGTGATTATTAGCTGTGGGTCTGTCACAGAGAGCCTTTATTACATTGAGGCATGTCCCTTCTATACGCACTTTGTTGAGAGTGTTTATTATAAAAGGGTGTTGAATTCTGTCAAATGCTTTTTCTGCATCTCCTGAGATGATCATAGAATATTTATGCTTCATTTTGTTAATGTGGTATATGATGTTGACTGATTTACAAATGTTGAATCATTCTCGCATCCCTGGAATGAATCCCACATGGCCATAGCGTATAATCCATTTAATGTAGTGTTGAATCCGGTTTGCTAATATTTTGTTTAGAATTTTGGCATCTATGTTAATCAAGGATCTTGGTCTGTAACTTTCTTTATTGTAATGTTTTTGTCTGGATTTTATATCAGGGTAATGTTGGCTTTGTAAAATGAGTTTGGAAGCATTCCTTCTCCAATTTTTTGAAATAGTCTAAGAACAGTAGGTATTAATTCTTTAAATGTTTGGTAGAATTCACCCGTGAAGCTGTCTGGTCCTACATTTTTGTTTGTTAGGCTTCAATTTCATTGCTAGTAACTGGTCCGCTTAGATTTTCCATTTTCTCCTGGTTCAGTCTTGGGAGGCTTTATGTACGCTTCTAGAAATGTACCCATTTGTTCTAGATTGTGGAATTTTGTGGCATATTAGCAGTATTTTTTTTTTTTTGGTGTTGATTGTAATTTATTTTTTCATTTATGAATTTATTTCATTGGGTTCTCTCTTTTTCTTACTTGAATTTGGCTAAAAGTTTGTTAATTTTATCTTTTCAAAGAACCAGTTCTTAATTTCATTGATCTTTTCTATTGTTTTAAATTTCTATTTCATTTATTTCTGCTCTGATCTTTTCTTCCTTTGTTTACGTTAGGTTTTGTTTGTTCTTCTTTTTCTAGTTCCCTTAGGTATAAAGTTAGTTTACTTGGGATTTTTCTTGTTTCATGAGATAGGCCTGTATAGCTGTGAATTTCCCTCTCAAAACTGCTTTGCTGCATTCTATACTTTTTAAATAGTAACGTTTTTTATTTTATTTGTCTCAAAGGAGTTTTTGATTTCCTGCTTGATTTCCAGTTTAATCCATTGGCTGTTTTTTAGCATGCTGTTTAGTCTCCATATATTTGTGTTTTTCCAGTTGTTTTTTTCCCCCGTTGGTGATTTCTAGTTATATACCACTGTGGTGTGAAAAGTTGCTAGATATGATTTCGATCTTCTCAAACTTATCCAGGCTCGTTTTGGCACCAATATATTATCTATCCTGGAGACTAGTCTATATGCATTTGACAAAAATGTGTAATCTGTTTTTGGATGAAATGTTCTATTAATGCCTATTAGGTCAATTGATCTCGTGCGACACTTAAGGGGCTTATTTCCTTATTAATTTTCTGCCTGGATGGTCTAGCCATTGATGTGAGTGGGGTATTAAAATCCCCTACTATTATTGCATTACTGTGAACTTCTCCCTTTAAGTCCATTAACATTTGCTTTATATATTTAGGTGCTCTTATGTTGGGTGTATAGATATTTCAATTATTATATCTTCTTCTTGGATTGACCCATTTATAATTATGTAATGTTATTTTTTGTCTCTTTTTACATTCTTTGCTTTAAAGTATATTTTGTCTGACATAAGTATTGCTAGCTCAACTTTCTTTTTGTTTCTATTTACGTGAACTATCTTTTCCATCCCTTCACATTCAGTCTATATGTACCTTCCAATTTGAAGTGAGTCTCTTGTAAGCAGCATTTAGATGGATCATGTTTTTGGTCTATTCATTTACCCTATAACTTTTTATTGGAGACTTAATCCATTTCTATTTAAAGTAATTATTGGTAAACATGTATATATTGCCATTTGGTTAACTGTTTTTGGGTTGTTTTTGTAGTTCTCTGCTCCTTTCTTCTTTTGGTTGTCCTTTGTGGTCTGCTGGTTTTCTTTCATGTTTTATTTGGGTTCCCTTCTCTTTAATCTTTGTGTATTTTTTGTAGGTTTTTGGTTTGTGGTTACCAGGAAGTTTATATATATCATTCTATATCTTTAGCAGTCTATTTTAAGCTGATAGGCATTTAAGATTGAATATATTCTAAAAGGACATTTTATATACTCCCTTCGATGCTTTATGTTTCTGATGTCATATTTTAGATCTTTAAATATTTTGATGCAGTAATGATTTAACCAAAGAAGAAAAGTGAGGAACACAAAGCTATTTTGTTTTGCTTTCTTTAGAAGTTATTCCTATATGAAACTTTTGGAATTATAAAAATATTCCACTGACAGTATTTTCTACTCAGATTGCCTGTATATGTAGTAATAATAATAATAATAA